ATACAGTTAATTAATCAAGTATTAAATTAATCACAAGCATGTAAATGTTCTATTATTTTCTTTATATTTTAACATGTAAATGTTGACCAGTGACATTTTCTAGCATATTATATAGTTAAATCTGTCTCTAGCTCTCCCACATCAAAGGGAGGGAGGTTGATCACATACTTTTTTCCTGCCTTAAGAAATAGGATATTCACTGTAGATCCCACAAATTTATTTTGACAAATAAAAAATGGTAACATAAGTTCAAAACACTCAAACATATTAGCTTATCAGTTAAAAGAGATTTACTAAATTTCTTAATTTTTTATATTTTAATCTTAGGATCAATATTTATGAAAATTTATTAAGTTTATCTAAATATACTAGATGGACACGGGAGATGCGCTCTTAAAATCATACGAAAAAGGAATTTAATCACAATTAATACATAAGGCTAGTTTAGAAATACCTCTTATATTGAATGAAATAAATAAATAAATAAATTCAATCAAAAGGGAAATGCTAGATCGACTTTACGAGAGTCAAAAGAGGTTTTAGTTTCTCTTGCTATCCTCATGTCCTAACATAAACAGATCAGGCCTGGTTTAGTTGCAATTATAGTAGGAATCATTATAATTCAAGTATGTAATTACTCAAACAATTGTGTAAAAGAGTAAAATGTTATCATTAGCCATATATATATATATATATATATATATATATATTCCAATAAAATTGCAAATCGGCATATTTTACCCTTAAAGGCTGTTAAGTTCTATCGAAGACCAAACCAAATACAATGTTGTCTTTTCTTTTATTGTGTCTAATAGCCACAACGAGATAATGTCATTGAAAGGAATGTTTAATTTTGTGTTGTTGTAAACAGAATGTATTTTTATTATTGTTTTTATTTGGTAAGAATTTATTTATTTATTTGAGAAATGGTAAGAATTTATCCTCAATATTTAAACATGATTAAAAAAATAGACAAATTGTTTTAAATTAATTCCATGTTAGTGATTTCATTGCATTTGATTTATTAAATGCATAGACTATGATTAATAAAATATATAAATCTCATAAGCAGAGTTTGGAATCCAGCTATAGTAACCCTACATGGACCCATCCCTTTTCTAAAGAAGCCACATGGCCCAACCCCATCTTGCCGGCCCGTACTTCCCTCCTCCATTCCCCTTAAAACCTCAACTCCCTCTCCACACCTTCATTCCAAAACCCCAGCTGTCCAATCCACTCCCGGCCACCATTATTTCCGCCACCGCCATGGAGCCAGTTGTGGAAGATCTAACCGATGATCTAGATAATCTTAGTTTAGCTTCCACCACCACCACCACCACCGCTGCCGAGACAAGACACAGCACAGGTTCAGGGTCCGAAACCACATGGACTACCTCAACCTCGAGCCTCGTGTCAAACTCCTGCAAGCCCCATCATCCGCCTCAATGTGATCAGTGTTGGCATGCAATCCAACGTGACAACTGCGATAACTCACCCCTAACCCTAGCTGATTTACGCTTTGTCCACAAATTAGGAAGTGGTGACATAGGGAGCGTGTATCTTGTAGTGCTCAAAGAAGGCAATGAGTGTCTTTTTGCTGCCAAAGTCATGGACAAAAAAGAAATGGTCACTAGGAATAAAGAGAGTAGGGCTAGAATTGAGAGGGAAATATTGGAAATGTTGGAGCATCCATTTTTGCCTACATTGTATGCCACATTGGACTCGCCGAGGTGGTCTTGTTTGTTAACGGAGTTTTGTCCTGGCGGTGACCTCCATGTCCTCCGGCAACAGCAACCGGATAGACGTTTCGGCGAAGCTGCCATCCGGTATGTACACACACACACATGCATATAACTGTACGTACAATGTAATCTGATGAGTGGTTGCGTTTGCATAAAAGATACAAATTCGTGAATGATGAGAAATGCTGGATGATCATGGGCGGGGCTGGGTTTAACGGTTGTTAAGGCTGTTCATTGCGTGTAGGGTCAGTGGGTAAATCCATGTGACATTCGGGTGCAGCCATTGATTTTGTGTGGACCATGGAACTTTTGGTGGGTGTCTCGTGCATTCTATCATAATAGAGAAGGCATGGGCATCATGCTCTTCATAAAAAGGAGTAAATATCTGCCTGACATCCCTCAATCTATGGCATGTTCTAGTACAATATTTTTCAGCTTCTTTGTCTAATCTGAGAGTCCCGAGATATCATTTCAAGAATCAAATTGATAGCTTCCCCCCCATTTCTCGCTCTTCTTTAATTTTTCTGTCAATTCGTCGCTTTTCCTTTTCTAGTCTAATGTCGTCTTCTTCAAATTTTATACCTTCTCATTCATTTTTAATTATTATATTAGATTTAATGTTTTTCACCTCCATCATTTCTTCAAATAGCCAACTACTTGGTTCAACAGTAAAAATTCATAATTATTAAACCTCACTTTTCCGGTTAAACTGAAAACTAACTGGGACCATGTCTTGAAAATGATATTTGAGAGGTGTACCCGGTCAACTTAGCTAACATTTAAAATACAAGTTTAATTTTTTAAAATAATATTGTTTTAACCCTAAAAATTAAAGCTACATCGTTTTTATTACCGTGGTAAAAATTATGATTTTATGTTCAACAACATTACAGGCATGGATGAGGCAATTTATGTCTTGTAAAGTTGTTCCATTAAAAGAAAAAACAAATTATATAGTTAATTCTGGGCCACAATAACATGATATATCGTGGGAATAATCTTTATAATTAGTTGAATAATTCTTTGTATATATCATAATTTATTCTGATTGCTATTAGGTTCTATGCACCAGAAGTTGTGGCTGCTCTTGAATACTTGCACATGATGGGAATAGTCTACCGTGACCTCAAGCCTGAGAATGTTCTTGTAAGATCAGATGGTCACATAATGCTTACAGATTTTGATCTCTCCTTAAAGGACGATAATTCACCGTCAACAGCTCAGATCATCTCCGATCAAAACCAGCCACCCACAGCTTCATCGACAAGAGACTACCCTTCTGATACATCTCAATTTGCCACATCATCATGTATTCTACCCAGTTGTATTGTGCCAGCTGTCTCTTGCTTCCACCATAGGAGAAAACGCAAGAAGAAACTCCATCAACGCGGGACCCTCGAGATAGTAGCAGAGCCAATAGACGTCCGATCCATGTCGTTTGTTGGGACCCATGAGTACTTGGCACCAGAGATTGTGTCCGGCGAGGGACACGGCAACGCAGTGGATTGGTGGACCTTAGGCATATTCATGTTTGAAATGTTCTACGGCGTTACACCATTCAAAGGGATGGACCATGAGTTAACCCTGGCAAACATTGTGGCTCGAGCCCTCGAATTCCCCAAGGAACCCTCAATTCCAGTCCTCGCAAAGGACTTGATCACCCAGCTTCTCATCAAAGATCCTGTAAGAAGACTGGGTTCAACCATGGGAGCTACGGCCATCAAACACCATCAGTTTTTTGACGGGATAAACTGGGCGCTGCTAAGGTGTAGAACGCCACCTTATATTCCTCGACCGGTCACTTACAAAAACCTTGTTGCGGCGGAGCATGGAAATAAGTCTATAGAGTATTATTAGCAAGAAGAAGGAACATTCTTTATTTTTTTTCTTCATTTAATTCTATTTCTTGGGAGAAGTGAGAAATCAAATTTAATGAAACTAATCCTTAGGTCTCCTACAGATGTAATTGTTGTTCAGATTGTTTGTATGTAAGCTTTTGAAGAAAGCGCGGCGCCTTGGATACCACATCTCCCCCTCCATCCTTTTTGTTTTATTTCCTTTTATTGGAATTATTATGTTGATTTTGAACAAATCCTTGGACGAGTGGGGCCTTCATGGGCATCTAGTCAGTTGTATTGTGATATGAAAGTAACTAGTCACTTTATAATACAAATTGGATATATTGAGGATATATAATAATTACATAACTAGTCACTTTATAATACAAATTGTTGGATATATTGAGGATATATAATAATTACCAATAATAATGTGGTAGCATAATTTTTTTTTTTAAAAACAATATTATTTTAATTATTTTATAAAAAAATTAAATGAGAATTAATTAATTTAATTTAAAATTTGAATTTTAGAATAAAACAAAGTTTTAGACAGTAATAACTGTTCTTTTTTAAAATATTTTTTATTTGAAATCAAATTAAAATATTTTTTTAATATTAAGATTATCAAAAAAATTTAATTAAAAAAACAATGTTTTATAAAATAATATAAAATGATCACTATAGTAAAAGTTATAATCTTTAATATCAAGAAATCTTAAATATATTCATAATAAAAGTTGATTTTTTATTTATTAAAATATTTTCCATAGCCACATTTTAAATCCTTTTATTCCATTTATAATTTCTTAAAACTATTTCTTGCTTGTTATCTTAATAGCTTTTTCTACATTTGGCTAAAATAGAGCTTTTCATGGTTATTTTTAGCTATTTCTTAAATGTTCACTTTAAAGAAAAATACAAATGACATTGCAATTTCCTTTTTTAACCCTCTCTTGCTCCTATTTAAGTTTTAGTGCCAATTTTTTTTTTCATTTTTTAAAACAATTGCAGCTAAAATTTAAATAAAAACAAGAGAGGGTAAAAAAAAAAGAAAAAAAAGAAGCTAGAAGGCTCACCGGGTTTTATAGCTCTCCCTCCATGATCCGTTTCCTCCAGGATCGTGACACCCCCCTAACTTTGGCAACCTTTTCATTTAAGTCTTGAATTTTTAATATTTTTAAATATATCCTCAAATTGGAGACATACGAAGAAATTGTTCATTATGTTTTTACATGAACTTGTATGTTTTTCGATCAACCATATCATAAATACTTCGCGGTTACGTGGTTCTTGTTGCTGAGCCAGCTTTTGTATATCGAAACAACATAAATGCATGACGTACGAGGACTGGTTGCGCACCCCCCGGTCTGTTTTCCCTTTTATCTCTAAGATGATTTTTCATGATTTTATTTTCCATCCTTTTTTCGTACAAGGATATTTATAGAGGCAGCTAGGACTATCCCTCCCATCTTCAAGTGGAGAGGACAAAAAAAATCAATCAATTGAGGGAGCAAGCACTGTGACATTGCAATTTGCAGTGCCAGCTGACATGACGCCCGGTGGAAAAAGTGTAGACCCACTTTCTTTCAAGTTTCCTCCAAAACGTGGTTCCTTTTCAGCGCATTAATGGCCCATTCAGGGCTAAAGACATAAGGTTTCTAAAGCAAACACAGTATATAGGCAGGGCTGATGTAGAAATTTTTGTTGAGGTGCTGAAGCAGAATATTAATTGGCTATGATCCCTCGAAATCTCACTTTCTGATGTTAATTTTCTTGATCTACACAAATTGAAATGGCGCTTTCTGTAGATCGCTATCGTTGTGGATTGACTGAAAAGGATCGTTCTGAAAGAAGCAAGAGATTTGAATCAACAGCAGCTGTGAAGTTGCAGAAAGTTTACAGGAGTTATCGTACCCGTCGCAGGTTAGCAGATTCTGCTGTGGTTGCTGAAGAGCTCTGGTACGTGCCCCTCATGTTCTTGTATAGATAATGCAACATATGGAACTCTGCCTTTTCTAATCCGATGAGAATGTGAAGGTGGCGAGCTTTAGATTATGCAAGGCTCAATCACAGCACAGTTTCCTTCTTCAGTTTTGATAAACCTGAAACAGCAGCATCGCGGTGGAGTAGGATCAGCTTGAATGCTTCAAAGGTGTGTGGTTTAAGTTCTTGCTTCTTTATAACACTGAATAAAGTATTGCTTAGTGTCAAGAACAAGATTCTGATGTAATAAGAAGACTGATATATCATGCAACTTTCCACTTTTTCACAGGTCGGAAAAGGTTTAGGCAAAGATGCCAAGGCACAAAAATTAGCTTTCCAGCATTGGATTGAAGCTGTAAGCCTATATTGGGCTACATCTGTTTGATTATGTTTGATCCTTTTCTTCAAGTGCTAGTTTTGCTACTTCTTTTTTGTTTATACATGTTGTGATGTAGATTGATCCGAGGCATCGGTATGGCCATAATTTGAATTTGTACTATGAAGAGTGGTGTAAAACAGATGCATTGCAGCCATTTTTCTACTGGTACGAGTATAGGTCTCAACCAATTTGATCATCTTTTGATATTTCTCAGTTAACACTTAGAAGATGGGGCATCACATTTGTTCCATAAGTTTCTCTTTTCTCAGTTAACACTTGGAAGATGGGGCATCACATTTGTTCCATAAGTTTCTCTTCTATCCATGCTCTTAATTTTTTTGCATAGGTGCATTTGGCTTAGATGCAATGTGCCTCCAGAACAATAAAGGAAAAATAAAAAACCAGAACTTTGGAATCTAGTTCTTGCTACAGTAATTGCTAGATGGACTAGTAAGTGTAAATGCTACTGAAAAGTTCGAAAGTCAGAATCTAATCCTGCTCCTTTCCTTCTCCACAAACTGCATGTGTAATTGTGAAATACTGCTAAGGTTTTGAAGCACCATTTCGGTTGTGATCGGAAGCACAATGGGATCCCCACTTCCTATTATGCGCATTCTGCAATGTTTAGGGAAATTTTGCTCTTTGCTGATAACTAAAATGCTGTATCTCTCTGCTTGGTTTCAGGCTGGATATTGGAGATGGTAAAGAAATTGATCTCAAAGACTGTCCAAGAACTAGACTTCGCCAAGAATGCATTCAGTATCTAGGACCCGTATGTTCCTCAGCATATAATCTCAGAACTCATTAACAGAATGTTGTGTTTCCATAGCAATTCAGCTTTGTCTACCGCATTGCATACATCAGCTCATGATAAATTTGCACGATCAATTTAAGGACATCATGAAATGTATGTTGACATTTGCCATAGCCTCGTATTCAGAAAGTAGATTACCGCTTCAAATTACAGAAAAGAAAGAAAGAAGAAAAGCTTTGATCTCTATTAGAATTGAACCTTTTAATACTAGCAAAAACAAGCTTTCTTGACTTGTTCTCACACACCTGTCATGATTTTCCCTGAAATAAGCAAGAGAGAGAACTGTATGAATACATCATTGCTGAAGGAACAGTGGTGCACAAACAAAATGGCAATCTCCTAGATACAAATCAAGGATTGGAAGGTTCAAAATGGATATTCGTGATGAGCACCTGCAGAAAACTATATGCTGGAGAGGTAAGGATAATTCTGGACATTAGACCATTTAATTAGCTAATTTTCATCCATCTACACGACTAATAATGTCTTTTCTTAAACATTCAGAAAAAGAAAGGAGCATTTCATCACTCGAGCTTCCTTGCTGGAGGGACTACTCTGGCTGCTGGGAGACTAACAGCAGAAAATGGAAAGCTCAGGGTAAGAATGCCATGATCCGTGTGATTGTGTGAAGGTAGGTAGCATAGCTTATAGAAGGAAATTAAGTCTGGAACACTGGAACAAATGACTGCAGTATGAGAGAAACGTGTATCTTGGTTTGGTATAAATAGAGTTGGAGAAAGGATAAGCTGTTGCTTTGACTATATGCATCTCTTGCTTCTTAATCGTAAATTTTCATTGTCTTCCAGTCTATATCAGCATATAGTGGGCATTACCGTCCAACTAACCAGAACCTTGGCGGCTTCTTGGCCTTCCTCGAAGAAAATGGGATCAACCTCAATGAAATTCGGGTACGCAACTCAATGCCATGATACTTCACAAACCTGCCACCCAATGTGCTGTTCTTGCATAAAAATATCTGGTTATGATGGAGCCTTTCCAGCTTTGGCCTATCTGGTTTTGCCATCTTCTATTCTTATTCTTTAGTAATCACTTGATATGGTGCTTCTACTTGTTCATTGTTCCATCTGGTATTGCTCTAGGCAGGTACTTACACCAGAAGATAGTGAAAGCTGTGAATCAAGGGAATTGTCTCAAGACAAAAGTAAATTCGGTTGGTCAATGGATTCCAAGCCGTCTAAACTTCATGCTTCGAGTAAAATTAACAATTACCAACCTTCTGAATCATCCATGCCTTCAAAAGCCACAAGAACATGCAGTTACAAGAGGATGTTGTCGGCCAATATCCAGAACACAAAAGCAAATGTACCAAAGAAGGAAATATTGCAGAGGATCAAATCCAAGAACGAAGCTAGCTCATACCAATTAGGGCACCAACTGTCTTTGAAATGGTCAACTGGAGCTGGTCCAAGAATAGGGTGTGTTGCAGACTACCCTCTGAAACTAAGGGAGCAAGCCCTCACGTTTGTTTACCTCTCACCCAGTGATGATCTGCACAAGCCATCTGCTTCTGAACTTCCAGGTTGTCTCCTCTCTATAATAGATCTTTGTACGATGATGTAACAGAGATTCATCAACCATCTTTTCAAAAGCCAGCATTGCCGATGACTTCGCTTTCTATTCCTGTAATCCCTTTGTTGTTGAAGTTTGAACTGAAGTCATTGCTGAATGCTAATGAGCTATACCTAATGCTATAATGTCCTCTCTTTCGTTTCATCTAGAGCGAGTGGACACAATAAAATTATCAAATAAATTGTTGTCAAGAAGCAAAGTAGACGTTGCATCATCAAATACCGTCCCATCCGCATACCTTTCCGCGTTTATTAGATTAAGTATCAGTCAATTTTTTTCACATTTTGCAACCTCATCAAAGACATCTCCAAGCTATCCCGTGGGGTAGGTGTTTGTGTCCGCATCCGGGTGAGACACGTTGATTATTTTAGCATAAACAGCCCCGCCCTCATGCTTGTAGTACATGTCAAGCATTTGAACAGGCTGTATTATCTTTTAAGATAAAATCTATGGTTTGATACAATGATGGAGAACGCCAGTTACAACAAATCTGAAATTGAAATACCAGACACTGAAAGTGGTTCAAAGGCCTGAGAAATCATATCTGTATAACGAGCCAAGAACTTGATGATCTATATCTTCGAAGAGGAGGAGTGTCATGATTTACGCGATCAATAGAGCAAGACAACAAGATGACATTTTCTATATCATATCCTTATGAATGTACCCCAGAAATTATTATAGCTTACATCCAAGTACAAGCGACCTGGATATCGACAATCCACATTACAATCATAGCAAGTTCAATAAACTATTACCTAATAAAACAAACTTTCACAAAGTAAATGCTGGTATCAGCACCATTATGCAGCAGCCAAAGTTTCTGCAGGCTTAGCAGGTTCAGCTGGTGCTTCTGCTTCCCAGAAGGTAGTCTTCTTCCCGGTCTTAGAGACAGTCTGAAGAACAGCATCTGGCTGCACATTTCCTTTCACTGTGACTGTTTGCTCCTTCAAATCAATGTCATATGATTCCACACCTGAAAAATGTTCCAGGAGAGACACAAGATATTATTATCTATTACAACAACAATGATGAACTTAGGGCCTCAGCTACATCTGAAAATAATACTTGCCAGTGGAATTTCCAACCAGATTAGATAACAATCCAAACCATTTCATTCTTTTCTCTTTTTTCATAGATGAAGAGTAACGATGTGAAAATTGCTTTGTAACGCACAGTAAGAAGATAAAAGTAAATTTCACTTCTTCACAAAATGCAAATGCTTCCAAACCTCACCATACCAGCTAATCTACTTGCAAAGATGCAAAATTCTATAACCAATCTCGCCCCAGTTCATTGTCAAATAGACCACGAAAAGGATCTACACCTTCCCCAACAATTCCTGAAATAGAACCATAGCAGCATGCTTCCAGAAGCTAAGATTGAAAACTCATTAAATCCAATCAACAATGTTTTGTCCATTTCAATTTTGTGTGTTGAGCGAGAAAGACAGCACAATCAGCAAAGTTCCAGAGACTAAAAGATCAATTGCAGGGACAGAAACAAACCTTCCATTTTTCCCAAAACCCTTTTCACAGCCCCAACACAACCTCCACATGACATGCCAACCTTGAGGACAACAGTCTGCAATTTAACAAAATTGAAAACCATTAGACATGCAAAAATCAGCAATAACCACAATGTAATGTCATCAAATAAAAAAAGGGCAGGCAGAAAAGGAAATAAAATCTCCAAAAACAGGCTATAACATCAGTTAACATGTAACCCTAAAAAAATTTCTAACTCACAACAGTAACGCAAAAAGAAAGAAGTCAACCTTCGTATCCCCTTTATCCTACAATTTCCATTCAACTAAAACCAGACATATTCTAGGTAGGAAAACAACAAAGCAGAAATCCTTTTCCCTCAAGATTAAATTTTACAATTTCAACAACTTGCTTTAAACTACTAATTCAGGCTTAACTAAACAAATCACATCAAAAGCTCCCTAAGATCCCCAACCAAAATAAAAATCAACAAAAACCCAGAAATCCCAGAAAAGACTTGAACTTGAAATCCAACGTGTCCACCCAAATTCAGCCAAAATTCATAGACATCCCAATAGAAGTCAAAACAACAAGAACATAGTATTAACAAACAATAAAAATACAAACTTTGCCCCAAAATAAGAAGAATCAAGAAATGAAGATTTAGGGGCACCTGAGACATGGTTATTACGTTGTTGTGACAGAACAGAACAAGAAACAAGGAATCGAGAAGACAGAGAGAAGACTTTGAGTTTGGTGTTGATTATATGAGCTGGTGTTTTCTGTATCCCTCAAGGTGGTGAATTTATAGACTTTTTGATGCGTGTGAATGTGATGATAAGTTTTGTGTGGGTCCCAGATCTTGTTAGCTATGACTTCCTGTTTTGTTAAGTTTTATTTTTCTCTCTTTTTTTTTTCCCTTTGAAAATTCATTTTAGTTTTCCATGAATTGGTGTGACATCGATTTCAATGTCATTTTTCAGTTAAGAGCTGTTTTTTCAGGTTAGTTATAAGTTTTTCATGCGTGATTTTTTTTTTATATATATATATATAAATGCCTTACAAATTAATATATTTTATATCTACCGCATAAACAATTTCAATTAAAATCACTTAATTATTAATTTTTGAAAGATTGTGTGCTATATGATCAATATAACAAAATATTGTTTGCTATATTTTAAAAAAGTATAATTTCCTGAAACATTTGAAAAAATACCAACCACCCATGAAACATTGTAACATCAACTGGTTTTATAATAATTTAGCTGTTTTTATTGTGTTGAGATTAAATCCATTTCAAAATATTTGTTTAGGATTTATAATTTTTTTTTGTAAATTCAATCATCTATTTATGTTTTAATATTATCTTTTATTATTAATTTTTCTAAGAAAATAAATTATTAATATCTATCCATCGTTTAACCAGATACATATCTCGATTTGAGAGTTTGCAGCATATATATATATATATATAAAAAAAATCTACATCCTTACATATCAATCCTAAAATCGGGGGAATACTTGTGTTGTTACCCTGACCAAGCTTCAAGAAAGAAAGAACAAACAAATAGGAATTTAAAACTTCTAAAAGAAGCCATGCCTTTTTGTGGGGTATCCATGGATTCTTCTTCACGCCATGGCAGAGTACACACTTTTGACCAGCAAGATAGTTAGTACACAGCAGCCTGGTTGCAGTGCCAGAACCCAATTACCAAACGCCATTCAAGTCTTCTAGAGGTGTTCAGTCTTTGGGGCCTGTTCTATTTTTTGCAATTCGGCTTTCACTTTTCCATGCCAAGCGTGGAGATTGAGTCTTATTTCTGCATTGAAATGGTAAAACCTAAATTGCAGTCTTCCTTCTTGTATTCCGTATGGATGCTTTCTTTTCTGGAGAAGAGTTTTATTTACTATAAATAGTTTTTTTAAAAGAAGTTATTTTCGTTGAATTCTTGGAAAGTTGATTATCAATTTAAATTCAACAATATTATGAGTAATATTTGACTATATCATAAAAATAAATTAAAAAATTTCTTATTGATGTTTAAAAACAAAACCTATCATGACCATGGGTCAGGGGTCCAAATGGGGGTGATTTTTTCTTAGAAATAAAAGGCATTAGGCATTTTATATAAATATAATCACGAGCTAACTCGCTAATCACGATATAACCTCCATCCTCTAGTTAATTAAACATTTGTTGAATTGAAAATTGCGCAGGATCTTCCGTCAGGCATTGATTAATTAATTAATTAATGAGCAGGATGTGTCCTCCATCATCTACAATGCTCGATCGTTGAGTTGACTACGTAACTCAATACAGATCTAGGGAGAGAGAGGGGGGCGGGGAAAACAGAGAATACAGTGAAGATGATAGATTGCAAGGGTCGTCAAAATCCTCAAAAGAAAAGAGTGTGGTTATTCTATAAATCTCATCATTGAATACATTCAGCAGAGGGAATTAAGTAAGAAGAAGTTCAGATTCTATAAATCATGACTAATTTGAATGACAACAGGAACGGAAAGGACTTGGGATCAAAGGGTTTGCTTCCTTCATCATTGAATGACAACAGGAACAGGAATTAAGTACATGTGTGTGGTTATTCTATAAATCATGACTACATTCCTTTTCAAGGTATTTCATAATTTTTAAAAAGTATTTTTTAAAATATATTATTTTTTTAAAAAATTATTTTTAATGCATTCCTTTTCAGGGTATTTCATAATTTTAAAAAATATTTTTTAAAATATATTATTTTTTAAAAAAATTATTTTAATACAAATATATTAAAATAATTTAAAAACATAAAAAATAATTTAAAATTTAAAATACAAATTTTTAAAAACTGTAATTGAAACACTTAAACACTTGATGATCACTTAGGTCAATTATGAATATAATTGTTATATAAGGCTAGTTGAATTATTTTGGTTAAAGATTTATTTTAATAGCTAAATATATATAATTTTTATTTTTATAAATGTATCATATAAGTATAAATGATCAACTTAAAATCTAAATTAAAAAAATGAAATTTGTTTTTAAATGATCCATATTCTTTTAGTTTAATTTTTTAACTATAAACTAAAATATTAATTTTTAATTTAACATTTGAATATTTCAAGAGATTTAATAGCATGAAAAATAGATTCCAACACATATAACATTAATTACAAGTTTGATCATTAAAATAGAAAAATAACATTTTAGAAAGAACAATGCAATCTCCGAGAGGAAATGATACAACACAATAAAAATGTGTTTTATAGTTATTCTCTGTAATTTGTAACTCTAATGCAATTGTAATATGTAAATAAAAGGCTTCAAAAAATAAAAAAATATTCAATTCTAAAAAATTTAATTGATAAGATTTGAGATTTGAGATTTGTTTTTAAAAAATTACTAGAAATTTTAGGGCTTCTAAGCTTACATAATCATTATAATCATTAATGTCATGACTAGTGAAATTAATTGAAATGTAAAATTAATTAAAATATGCACAATCAGACATTCATATTATTTTTTTTTAAAATTATTTATCAAATAAATAGTGTAATTTTTCAAATTGAATTCGACCAGCTATTCTGCTACAATATAAATAATAATTTAGGCTAAAACACGCAAGAGATAAAAGGATCTATATCTTACA